CTATCTCATTGGATCCTGTGGGGTTATTAGGACAGTCAAAGTGGACATACTCTTCATTACTGGATGTGTGAACTTCAATAAAGCAATAGAATGACATTTCATGGCTTAATTAAAAATGCATAGGCAGAACACTCATGTTTTTACCTTGTGCTCTTTTGAAAAACATGGTAGCATATTTAGACACATGATCTTTAGCATTGCTATAGAAAATAATTTGTTTAAGTTTGCCCCAAAGCATCTGAAATTGTTTATAGTACATTTGTTTGCAGTACATGGGTACACATTCAAATTAAATTGATAAGAAAATTGTCACAAAGTAAATGCTGAGTTTTATTTAAAAGTATAGAAAACATCTAATTATATTTCAGCAAAACCAAATAGCACATCTAGAAATAAATATATTTTATTAATTTCAAGTATGGTTTGACATGGTGTCCTCCCATCTTTCTTTTTTATTTTTTTAAAATAATGGTTTTTGCAAGAAATTACATGTAATCCAGGTGTTTAATCTTGATTTGTCTTATAAATTTTGGCATTAGCCTTGTAAACTGCATTTTTCCTGTGCAGTAATATTAATGAAAGTTACAATCTGTATTCACTTTCCTGGAAGTAAATTTCCTTGAGTAATTGAGGTGTGCAAAGACTTGCCCTGTAAAAATTTAAGTTTGTACAGGTAAAGACTGTTCATATCTTTACCTGATGTCTTGAATTGAATGTCTTCATTTCAAAACTTCACTTAACCATGAAGGTAATTGAAAATCTTGGGAATATTTTATTCAGTTACCATGTCTTGATAATTTGAACACATATACAAGTAAAATAAAAAAAAGTTTAACCATAATCATAATATACCTGATAGAAAGTAGTGAACCTTTAAGAGTTTTGTATAGCATCATCAAAACAGATCCTATACATTTTAATTTAAATATTTGTGTTCCAGTTTTCTGTCACAAGTCTTTCAGTCTTTTTTTTAAAGAGAGAGAGAGAGAGAGAGAGAGAGAGAGAGAGAGAGAGAGAGAGCAGGAAAGATGTTTATTATAAACTAAATTAAATGTCTACTGGTTTTGTTTTTTTGCCTAATGTAGAACTTGATCATTCAGAGTAATGGGTTTGCACTAATGTGACAGTTATTTGTTCATTCATTCATTCATTCATTCAATTTCTATAGTCACCCATCTCAATCAGTAACTAAAGTTACAATTACTATGTATTTGTAACCTTGTTGCAAAAGTAAAATTTTTTGTGTAACTTTTCTTGAAAATCCCTCAAAACTTTTTTGTAAGAATAGAACATTTTTATTCATAATATGTCCACAGAATATACTAAAATTGCCATTTGATTCAAACATTCATAATCTATGCTTTGTTCCTCTTTTTTTTTTAAAAAAAAATCATTTAAGAAAAATGATTGGCTATTGAATCTTTTCATTTAATCCTCGGTAATAGTTGGCAGTATTATGCATACTTTAGTTAGCAAGCATTCTTCTTTGATCCCACTTATGCCCTAGGCAGGGTTGCTTTTAATGGGGCATATTTCTAAGTATACATGGAGATTGTTAGACTGCAATTGTTACTGAGGCTGATGTAATTGTTATGTATTTCAAACATATAACATTTCTGTTTTACATTTCCAAATGTACAATAATGAAGACTGTCAAATCTTTTGACAAAACTGATGGGACAGAACAACATGGCTATTGTTGCTGCTATTCATATTTTCAAACTTCTTACAGGACACATTTTTTTATGGCTGGCTGATGGTAGAGCTTGGATCTTACAATAATTTGCCTCTTCCCCAACTCATGTTGATGCTTACAAAGAAACATGGAAAAAAAACACCATAAAGTCATGTCAAATCTTCCTTATCCTTGCCAGAGAAACTGCAGGCTTATAAAGAATGCTTTCCTTCTTGAGGTCAGGATATGGTAACTTGTAATCTTGATATAAGCTGACTGATCAGGCTGTCTTTTGGACCTTGTTCATTGACTGGGAACCATCTACAGTTCTGTTTTAGGTGGTTCCTTTAATTCATAACGGCATGCAGACCTCCTTTGTGCTACATTAAAATCCATTTAGGGCTTAAAAGTAAGGCTATTATTCTCATCTTTTATTCGAGCATCAACATTAATCAACACTGTTGCTGAATTTAGAACGAATGTGTGAAATTTGTGCATGAAATACCATATGAAATACTACAAAAATAGGGACAAAAAGAAAGCAAATGAAAAGAGTTACAAAACAACTATGGTTGTAGAATTAATCTCTCTCTGTCCCTTTCCCCCACAGCTGGAATTATACTTCCATGATGCCCTTGCTGTTTTAAAATGTCTTTTCAGATGTTCTAAAAACACCTATCCATTCATTTTTGATGAGATAAGCACTCATTATGAACTGAATAATACATTATTTTCACCAAATACTACAGACTATGTTATTCTGGGATTTTGGGGGAGAAAGGATGACAGAGTAGCACTAAGAAAATAGTGTCCTGGATTTAATAATTAAAGTTCCAATGGCTGCTACTTTGATTTGCTTAGGTTTACAGGATGATCATCAGATATATTCATCCTTCTGCCTCTTTCCAGCTCTGCCTTGCTGTTGCTAGTTTTTTTCTTTTTCTTTTTTCCCCTCTTATTGCTTCCATAGTTCTGGGTTCCTTATCAAATACTTTTTCATTCAAAAGCCATTAGACCAAGGATGCCAGAACTGAAATAAAAATTTTGGCTTTTTTGATTCCACTTGTTGATATGTTTGTCTCTTCTTTTCTTTTCTTTTCCTAGTTTCATAGGTATGCTGTTCATTCTTCCAATGCATCTATTTATCTATGTATTAAATTAGGTAATTCACTGTATTGATCTGAAGTTGATGTATTTTCTAATAAACTTCTATTTAGAAGAATGATTGAAAGATGATATAGACACCTTACTGTATTTGGGCCTGATCAGATAGTTGTGACAGAACTGTATTGATGACATCATGCTGCTGCCAAATGATTTTAGACAGCATTTTGGAGGGGGAAAAAGAACAAAGTTTAAATGAATCAAATGTGAAAAAATAGTTTTGATCTGCTTCAGGAGGCAGAGTCTCAAGGTTTAGATACAACACTTAACTCAACAGTTCAAAGCTTTGCATCTGATTCTCCTTATCTGGATGGACTTAGAAGCTATGCAGAGTTACGCCTACAGTAGTTAATATTTGGGTGGAAATATGGAAGAAAAAAATAACCCAATCTGGAAGAAGACAGTGGCAAACTACTTACGTTCTCTGGCCAAGAATGTCACCCAATTGTACCTATAAAAATCAGGAGCTGAGCTTCACATGAAAGTATCTTTATATTCTCCAATTTTTCTCACTTAAATTCTAACGCCAGAAGTGAGGGAGGCTAGAGGAGAGAGAGAGAGCTCTCCTTAAGTTTGTATTTCTTTTGTTCTAAATATTGGAACCCATTTCCTGTTTTACAGATTATAACCTAGGTTCAAAAAGGAAGGCCTTGATGCCATTGAATCTAATTCAGCCATATATTATTTTGTAGATTAAAAAATGGCAAACTCAAGCTGTGCATGCTGGAAAACATCCTCAGAAGGTTTAGAATCTTATAAATTAATACTGTAATAATAATGTGAACAGCTATTATAGATTTATTAAAAACCAGATTTCAAGAAATGAGCTGAAAAGCACAAGTAGAGGTGACATTCACAGAGATAAAAAGAAAATTGTGATTTCATTCTGATCTAATTAGTAAGTAAAAATCGTAGGTACTTTTTTTTTTTTAAATAGCAATAAGCCTTTTTCAACCGATGTGAAATACTTAATGAGCTTTAGGGACTACCTAAAGTTGTGAGCTTTCAGGAATTACTAAGGAAAAAACCATGATTCTACCAACACTGGCAGGGCACATAGCTAAGTGTAAACAGGAAGCAAACTGCACATTCATTAGCACTGATGATGTTACCAAATTGAATAATAAAAGGGTCTGCAAGAAAGCAACCAAGCTCAAAGACCACTATACTTCCTAACATGTCTACCTTCTTTTATTTGAAGAATACTTTATTTCAGAGGTGTTCATAAACACACACACACACACACACACACACACACACACACACGTACATACTGATTAGGAGAGACTCAGGATCTGCCTTTGTAATTCATTGCATCTACTTCCTCCCCCCCCCTTACTTAAGGTAATATTTCATATTTGCAGTACTTTATACACCTTCATTCTAAACTCAGTGTCAGTGTTGATTAATGTTGGTATCCCATCAATGATAGAGAAGGGAGTCTCGCTTTTGAGCCCTCAGTGGATGGTAATATAGCACAAAGGAAGACCACATGCCATTATGAATTAAAAGAGCTGCGTAAGCCAAGACTGTAGATGGTTCCCAGTCAATGAACACGATCCAAAAGACAGCGTGATCTGTCAGTTTCCATCAGGTTTACAAGTTGTATCCTGATTCTAGGCAGGCGGGCATCCATCATAAGCCTGCAGTTTCTCTGAAAGGAGGAGGAAGATTTGATGCGACTTATTTTTCCTATGTTTTTTTGTAAGCACAAAAGCTGACTGGCTAAACTTCACATCACTTTCAGCCCTACACTGGAAGGCACTGTTAAGATTCCGCATTGGATCAACATGGCACACTGTTATCCATAACCTTAACTGCAATAATAGCACACACACACTCACTCACACACACACACACATACACACACACACATACACACATGTTTATGTATGTGTATATGCACATGCACATACACAGATATATGTATATACACAATATATACAGACAAAACTGTTTTTTTTACCTTTGAATTATCAACATCAAAAGGCTGCATTTGAAAAACAAATGCTAATATGCAATTGTCTCATGGTGCACCATTCTTGTGGAAGAGGCATCTATCCATCATCTTTTAACACTTGTTACTATTGAATTTGGACCCTTAGGATATGGAAGCAATTCATTATATGACGGTTTTGTTCCCCCCCCCCATTTTCTATAGATCAGGTACCATCAGTGGCTAAAGGATGTGCAGTTCCCTGAGCCCAAAGGCCCGAGGTCCTGGCCTCTCCGATATGCATCAGTACAGTCAGTGGCTGGCCAGCAGACACGAGGCTAATTTGTTGCCAATGAAGGAAGATTTGGCGCTATGGCTGACAAACCTGCTGGGTAAGGTTATTTTTACATACTGTAATTATTGTCAAGCATTTCTAAATTTGATCTTAAACCCTGACATGCACGTGGAAAAACCTGCTCTGAATAAATAATTAAAGTTCTACCATCTATCTTGTTTGTCGTCTAGTTCTATAGGTTGCTTAAAATTCTAATTTCACCTGCTTTCTTATTTGGAAGGTCACAATGAAATAGTTCTTCCATGTTAATTTAGTATATATGTGTGTGTAGTATATGTATATATCTATGTATATATTGGATGGGGAGGGGAGGAGAAAAGGCTGTATTAGAGCTTCAATAATTTTGTTTATTTACCTGCTAGCAAGTATATTTATTATATGTATTTATGCTGTGTTAAAAATCTGCTTTACTGTTTCCTTTCCTGGAAATGTGCTGAAGATTTCAGGATTCCATTGGGTATTGTATGATTCAGTTCAAGATTTCTCAGTAACCCAATTCAATTCCAACTGATTAAAAATTCCATTCAAAAGTGTTTTGCTTGTAGACTGTGATGCAGAAACTTCAAAATACTTGAAGTCTGATCACTTTTTGCCAAAATGAAATGAAAGTAGCAAGGTACCAGTGAGTACCAGTGAGAGGATGGCCAAAAGTAAGTGGTTTTCCAACTTGTTAGTATAATCACTCCCTCACCACTGAAAAAAAATATGTGGATTTCCTAAGCACGGACAAGAATTCAGCCACCATTTCAGGCCACAATGGACTGCACATTAATTTACAGGACGAGTGGGAAGAAAATGCTATGCATTTGAGTTGCTAAGGTAGAAGAGCCAACAACACCCTCATATTAGCAATGGGCAATCAAGTCTCCATTTAATCTTTATTCATGTGGTAGCCACTCACTCATTGCAAGAAGACTTAAAGCTCAGTAATACATAATTTAAAAGTAAGGACAACCTTGGGTCCATATTTAGAAAGCTGAAAGTTTAGCCAAATTCCTACTTCTACACAGAAGTGTAAGTGTCTGTTACTTCGAGACAGAGAAGTTTAGGATTCATGTCTGGCTATATTAAAAGAATTGAGAGCTGAGAAAGTGAATGATATTCAAAATTATTGTTAGTCCCCCTATACAGAAAAGGTCTGATAGGCAGAGAATTTAATGTAATACATGTCATTGGTTACTTCCTTGTATCAGTCTCTTTCCAGGGAAACAATAATTATGGATGTTGGAAAATGTAGTTCAGCCACATTTGGAGAGCTAAACATTTTATTTATTTTATTTATGAGACTTATATACCGCTTTAAGTGCAAGCACTCTCTAAGCGGTGTACACCAGTAAGCAATGTATATATATATTTACATTGCCCCCAACAATCTGGGTCCTCATTTTACCTACCCCGGAAGGATGGAAGGCTGAGTCAACCTTGAGCCGGTGAGATTTGAACCGCTGACCTGCTGAATATAGTGTTACCGAGCAGCCTAAGACTGTTTCTCCATTAGTGTGAAAAAAAATCTCTTGAGTTTCTTGAAACAGTCCTATGAAAAAAGGCATAATATGGTACATCCATTATGTACTTGACACTTCTTCCCTATGACATTGAAGGAAAATAATTGGTAATTACGGAGAAAATGTCTTTCACGGTTTTATGCCTCTCTTCCTGTGCACGGATTTCATTTAAATACAGTTAAGCAAGATGGAAAGTTCATCTTTCACTTTTTAGAAGAGAGGTCTGCTGGGCTGGCAGACTTTCAGTACAGTGTTTGCCAATAGGTCAAAGCTTCAGTACATTAAAAACTTTCTTCTTATGTGCATACCCACTGGGCTTTTTGCTTTCAGAATGGGTAAGATTAGGCAAATGCAGAAAAGGAAGACAAAATTAAACAAATAAATTAAGACATGAGGTAGAGCAAAGCAAGCAGACTACATAAATGGGATATTCACATGTTAAACAAGACACATTCCATAAGCAAATCTCTCGTTGTCGTGACCTTTAACTGAGTGAAATGGTGCATTATAGGGTAACAATTTTTGAAACAAGGTACTTCAAATGGGCGAACTTACAGAATGTGTCCAAACTACAGAACCCAAAGGAATGATATTTGGGGAAATTGTGGCTGCTTCAGTGCTGCGGGCTGTTGCTGTGCTGCTGTGGTATATAATGTATATCTGGCAGTAGGAGATGACCTGGATTCTGTTGTCCCTAAGAGTTTTCTCAGAAGTTTCAGGAGATCAATAAATGGAAATTAAAGTCTGGAGCTGATAGATGAGGAATAGAACTGAAGGAATAGCACAGGTGTGAGTTAAGATTGAAGCTTATACTATGCTGTTGAAGGAGGCATTTCTGTTATTTTTCTGGTACTGCATTGCTGGGCTGTTAACCTGGTTTACAGAGGCAAGAACAGAAAGATATGGTGTTTGGTTGCTAGCAGTGTGCTGATAAAGTCAGTTGGATTTACTGAGCTCTTGTCTTCTTGTAGGAAGAATCTATGAAGCTGACTAGGCAACATCTTATGTTGTGAGATTTTGTGGTGGACTGTGGAGTCTGATGAAATGTTAGGGCACAGGTGTCAAACTCAATTGTGTCATGTGATGTGTCATGACGTATCGTGACCAAAAATAGCTAACTGAGAGATTTGTAAGGCCTTTCCCCTGAAGCTTACTGTTTAAAAGGCCTAAACAGAAGGAAATGCATTTGGTAGGCGGAGAAAAAACAAGAAGGTTGCTGCTGATGTTTTCTAAGAGGAAGGCAATATAACTGTTAAGTTCTGATTATTCTCAAACGGAACCTATGTATCTTCTCAGCTGGCTTATACTCTGCTCACCTGTTGTAGTTTTTTCCTTTTAATGTTTATTTTTCTTTTTGTGTTTCTGTCTTGAGTTTTCACTTTGTCCACTTCTTCTCTGTTATCAAGACAAGATGGTTCCTTCGGGTGTCAATTAGGAAAGAGAAAAGGTCAACACAGGATACCAGAACAATGACAATTCATCTGTTTTATGAAGTATACTAATACGAAGAATGGGAAAATAATAATAGTAATTAAGAACAGCAGCAAGATGATGTAGGGAGGCCAAGGTTGTAAACAGATTCTTCATAGCAGATGTTCATTCTTGACATATGAAAAACCAATAGACGGTATAGTAGCCTTTTCCAAGCTGGAGGCCTTATTTATATGTGAACTTCAGCTCCCAAAAATGTCAGCATGTTGGCTGCAAATATTGAAAGTTGAAGACCACATCATCTAGCAGATGCCAAATTGAGGGAGATTTACCTATATGTAATAGGTATTTCTTTAGTCCTTTCATATACCAGTTTTTTTATTTACTGAAGCATTTTTGAGAGCACTTTCAGCGTTAGGAATCTACTGGATATGGACAGTACCTTTTCTATAATCATTTTAATAAACATTTTATGGAAGACTTCCTCATCCTATTTATATTTATTAAATAGTTACGAAAACAAACAATTCCATAGAGAAAGAAAAGTGGGAGATGGTTGATGAGAACAGCGTGTTTTCATGAAGAACTCTGTGATAAACTGAAAAGTTAAGTTTTAAAAAAATGGGAAAGGGACATATCAGGAAATACCCTGAATTTGTAAACATGGAATCAGGAAGAGTGAGCAGAGGCTTACAAAGGGAATGTCAAAAACAAAAACAACAAGAACAGTCATTTGAATATGTGCAGAACAATAGAAAAGTTAAACCACTTGTTGGAGAAGATGCCGAAGTGCTTAGAGAAGCCAGGGAGAAAGCCAAACTGCTTAATTCCTATTTTGTCTCTGACTTTTTTTACAAGATTAAAAAAATGGTCCATCATGTCAGCAGTTGCAGAAGAGAAGTGCAGGTCAAAATTGGCAAGAAAGTGAAGAGAGAATACTAGCTGCTTTGAATGAATTCAATTTGCCAGAGCCAGATGGATTACATCCCAGGGTGGTAAAGGAACTGGCAGATATGATCTCAGAACCACTAACTGTAATCTTAGAGAACTGCTGGAGTATGAGGGGGGAGGATATGCTAGAAGAATGAAGAAGAGCTAATATTTTTCCAATCTTTAACAAAGGAGAAAAAGGGTACTCAGCAAAATGCATATTAACTGGCTTGATTTCAATATCTGGGAAGAGCCTAGAAAAGATAACAAAATAGTGGGTTTTCAGGAATACTAAAAGCCAGCATGAGTTTCTTAAAAACAGTTTACTCAGAGTAATTTATGCCCCCCTTTTTTCACAAGCTGATTTGATTAATAGATCATGGATGTAATGTGTCTGATCTTCAGTAAGGGAGTTGATAAAGTAGAGCACAGTCTCTTTCTTGCTGAACTGGGCAATGATTTGCAATTGGTTGAATAACCATCATGTGGTGCTTAATGGGTTCATGCCTAAGTGGAGAGAGATATGCAGTTCTGTTCAACATTTTTATGAATCACTGAGATGAGGGATAGAAGGGATGCAGAGCATACAAATGTGAGGGGGCAGTATTGCTGCCACCTCATAAAATGGGATTGGGGTTCAAAATAATCTCTATAGATTTGAATATTGGGCCTTTTGCAACCAAAAGCAGTTCAGTGGTGAGAAATGTAGGGTTCTGCACTTAGGCAGGAAAAACCAGATATGGAGATATAAGATAGGGAGGTACCTGGTTCAACAGAAGTATTTGTGAGAAGGCTCTGGGTGTCTGATAGACGCACATTAAATATGAGTAGAAATGCTTTTCAACTGCCAAAAGAGCCAATGCAGTCTTGGATTGCAGTGACAAATGTTGCAGTCTGCTGCATTGGTTAGGCATATAGGAAGGAGTGGCAGAACCTGGCGACAGAGCTAAAAGAGGGATCAACCTAGAATTTCTACAAAGCCACAAGTCTAAGTTCAACTCTTGAATTCCATTGATCCTTATCTCTTAGCAGGTGCTAACTATTAGTTGAGAAGATACCTAATTGCATAAGAATGACGTAATTCTTATGCATAATTAGCAATAAATCAGTTTAATTAGACTTTCACATGTAGACCTTACCTTTCACATCAGGTTATACCTGGAATATTATA